AAGTGTGAAGTGAAAGAGTAAAGAGAGGGATTTGATATCCAAGGGAAACGGTGCATGAATTCACTAGGGGTTGATAGACGGGGCAGGGGCAGCCATGCTATTTACCCTTAGAGATTTCCATGGGTCAAGGCTGTTACAGGGCCACATTCTCGCTCTTCTTGATCTTGTCGGGATAGACTGTCAGGCTGATGAAGAGATAGGCTGCAGACAGATGATGGTGTTGCACGAACACTGGTGCTGCAGTGAGCAGATACAGCAGTCAGACGCCAAAGTGACTTTGGCAGTTTGCTGCTGCTGATCAGCTATGCGATATAGTGATTTACTCAGCCATTTAGGATCCTCTGACCTCTGAGTCAACCAAAAACCTGCTGATCATAAGAGACGTGGGATGACAGGAGAAATAAGACAGCTTAGACTCATGCTCATTCACATTCAGGTGGAAAAACCCCAAATCAGATGCACAACTTCACTTTTCCATTTATCTCTCTCTCTCTCTCTCTGTAGCACAACTGAATTGCTGTCTTTGGCATTAATGGAATATTTTGCTAAGCATTCAAAGCATTTTTTGGATTCACCCCTAGAATCTCATCCTATCACAAATTTCTCCGTTCTTCCTCTGTGCTCTCAAGAAGGTCTCTTCTCCTCTCATGACGTCAGGACTATTATACTCCAGCGCCACCTCCCTTCAGGGATAAGATTTTACGATTGCAACCTGACACCGTTTCTGTGTCCTATAAGCCACAGAGCTGTAACTCACTTCAAAGGCAGGAGGCATCAAATCACAGTGCACCCATAAATTTACCTGTCAAATCTTGGCCAATGAGAAGGCAGCATTAAATCTCAGCTGTCACGCTGGCGGCCAATGGAAAGACGATGGCAGTAAATCTGTCAGGGCTGCGTCTGTTAACGGTGTTGTGGTGTGGTTGGGGAATCCACGGGGAGGGAGGGGAGAAAGTGAGAAAGAGTAGATGACAGAGGGAGGAGGGTACAAACTGAGGGTTCAGAGGTATGCCACAGAAAATGCTTTTCTTTACATTCTTTAGCCCCTGCTGCAGAAAACACACACACACATACTGTAGTAAAACAGTGCGGGGCAGGCCGAGGAATTTTTTTTCCAGCCAAACAAGACTAAACATGGCCAGAAAAAAAAAAGAAGAAACATACTGATGGATGCAGTGGGAGTTGAATAACACCAACAGCAAAGCTCATAAAGCTTTACGGCCAGCAGAGCTGTGTCTGATGTTGACTGTCTTCAGTGAAAATGACTGATGGCCTTCCTTTACTGCTCTTTTGCATCATTGCGAGACCAAAACTTAGTGTTGACTGTTTGATAACAGCAGTAACCCAGTAACCTCTGACTGTCATGACACAGCACCGTCAGTAGCAGCGGCAGGCGCCCAGCTACACACTGCCCTCAGGATTACAGCCAGCCTGTCAGGGTCTGGAGGAGGGGTCGGCCAGGGTCCACTTGAGCCCATCCACAAACCAGATGTGCCCCAGTTGTGCAGCTTCAGAGGATGAAGGGAGTTTCCCCTGCGGCACAGCAAACCTGAGCAACTGCGATGGAGGATTTTTTGTTTTGCCACCTAAGCACAAAGAATCACAGCATGGCCCTACTGCATCTAACCAGTACCAGTTTTGACCAGAGAGTATTTTCACATCCAGAGCGCCTGCACGATCACTCTTCCTAAGTATGCTTTCTGTGAGGAGTAATGCACTGCACTGGCACAGGAGAACTGTGGGGAAAACAGCAGAGGGAAAACACATCAGGTAGAATATTTCCTCGATTAACAATGCCCTTGGTGGTGCACTTTCATTATCCTATCAAAGTTGAACATTTTCATGTAATAAATCTTACAGGTATCATAAAATAACTGGTCCTGCAAAGGCAATGCTATTCCAACCTCAAGAAAAAAGCTTTCCTTTAACAAAGCCCACAATTTTTTCACCAACCTGTAACGACGTCCAATAAACCAGCCACATTTGTGGTGACATTTTTATCTTACATCAACAAAAAAAAATTAAACATTAGCATCAGAATTTACAGTCATCTTATGTCATTACTATGAATACTGTTTTTTTCTCCTCAGTAACATAAACAGTGTGTTGAGTTATGGCAAAGGCAGGCTGGAGTGCAGTGGTGGAGGTGTTGTTTTTGGCAGGCTTTTCCTGGAGTGGCCATGATTCTCTATTCTATGGGAATCCATAAACAGACCCAGAGAGAGCAACTGGGGCCGTAAACCACATCAGGCTGCAGAGATGCTGCTCAGGCAAAGGAAGCAGGCCTGGGCCCATACCATCTTCTCTCTGCATGCATGCATGCATGCACGTACACGCGCAGACACACACACGCACGCACGCACGCACACGCACACACCCGCACACACACACGCACACACCCACACACACACACGCACGCACGCACGCACGCACGCACGCACACACACACCCACCCACACACACACCCACACACCCGCACACACACACCCACACACCCACACGCACACGCACACACACCCACACACACACACATACCACTGCAAGCAATTTGAGCAGCCTTTAATGACCCATTTTAAAAGACTATGTTTACAATGATCTTGTAGGTATAGTAGTTTACTCTGTTTTGACTGAATTAATGCAGTTTAAGAACAGAAAATGGAAGGGATGATTTCCTATCAAATTAGGCTTTTTTCTCAAACATTATCTTGATATTATGTTAAATCTTAGTATCATCTCCTGGGTGGAAATGGAGAGCAGTAGAGGGAAAATAGCCTTATTAATTTTAATACACTGGGTCATTAAACATCATGTGGGTCTTGCCCTTTGTCCTGCTCAGACAATATAATGGCACTTCCTTTAATATGTTTACTGTATTGGATCCAACATACTGTCATTGTTTTCCCCAGCGATGTTTCTCTTTAGCGGGGCAAGACATTGGATGGGTGCTCAGGCCCATTGACTATGACATAAAGACTCTGTAAGCTTACAGATGATGATAATTTATTGACTCTAATTCACACAGTCGACTCATACACACACACACACACACACACACACACACATGAGAAAGAGACCGACTCTTTCACTGTATGCATCGATCAATTACGAAGCTCTAGCCCACACATCTCTGACAATTTTACTGCATGTTATGTACAGCGTGTCAAGCCATGGCGTTTCAAACTGTTATACTCATTCCTGTATAATTAATATAAATTACCTCACTGGTTTTTTATGATGGTGCAACTGTAATTAGTGGATGAAAGCAAGTCACTGAGCTACTGGTGGTGCTGCAGGCTATCTAGATGAAGAGTGAGGGTCTGGACAGGCACCTTGGGTGGAATCTGTTTTAACCCTTACTCTTCCCCGCCGTGCCCTCGCTGGAATCTCATCTAATCACATTTACTGCCGTCTACTTCTGCTAACCGTGTCCTATTTAACCTTCATGTTTCCCCCTCTCGCTGAAACCACACGCTGAGACAGAGGCTGTCCTCATTATACCAGCAAACTGGTGCGATCACAGTAAACTGGTGTGATAATGGAGTCCATTTATAGTGATTACCTCTCCCTTTCTTACTGCTCTGTCTCCAGTAAAAACACTTAGAAAGTAGCAACAACGCAGCCTCCATTCATGCTATATCTGCAGCAATAAAGAGCCACAGACTCAAGAGGCTGAATGAAACTGGAGCAAAGCCAAGACAATAGGTCCACAGGTCAGAGCCAATAACAGTTTCATTGACTACACAGCTCTCTCTGTATGTAAAAACATCAACACACACACTGTTACCTTGTTTTGTTATCATCTGCCATTTCCCAGCAGTTAAATGTGGTTGATACATAACATGCAGAGAAGATTTTAAAAAATGTTTTAGGCGTTTATACCTTATTTTCTGACCTATTTTAGTTTTGTGATTTGTTGCCAGTAAAAAAGGTAAGAAATTTCTCACAGGGCAAATACATGGTATGCATTCCAACATTACTAACGTTTGTGATCCTTTCCACAAACATCTCCAGGCCATAGATATCTCTACATCACTCACTTTATCTGGTTCACAGTATGCAGCCAAGTGACTTATTTAGATATAGATAAGAGAAAGAAAGTGAACTGGCAACCTTCTGAATGTCAATTTGTACAGACATGTCACAGCATAGTACAGTAGATGAGATGAAGTCTCTGACTGTAAGGAAGAAAAAAGATCTGTGACAAGACCCATGACCTAATGTGGTTCAAATTAGGCATGGATGGATCTGTCTGTTGTGCAACCAACACAAATCTCTGCTAGCAAAAAAAAAAAAAAATACTTTCAAGTGATCAGCATGAGAACATATGGGGATACCTAGCTGGAATGAAGAAGATCTATCATTTCTTCTCCTGTAATATGCATCAGATATCAACTTGATGTAGTGCCTTTTCTCACATCCATGTCTCTCAGGAGTATATCCTTCATTTGCATTAAAATGAGTGTGTGCCGTTAATGTGTGAAGGTGGTGGTAGTGGGGGTCCATACATGGAAGCACACAATTCATGATCCACACAGTGCCTCTCTACAGGCAAGAAATGAATCAAGTAAGACTCCATAAAACTTATTTGCATGTGACAGTACACAATACAATGTAAGCTCCTGATCATAGCTGCATGAATAGGCCCCCTCCCCTCTCTGCCTTATTGTCTACAGTACTTTTACCTCGACACTTTGCGGCAGACACCAGGAGATGGAGCCCTTGCTCTAGTGTCTCTGGCTCTTGCAGAGGTCTTGAGGAACAAAGAGTGTGGCAGCTCTGAAATAAGGAAACACTAGCTCTTACAAACCTGCTAAATTTGCAGATATAAAAAAGCCTCACATACGCTGTGTGTGACTGACTCCGATGTTCAACACAGAGTAGGTAGCGTGGGACGTATCGCAGTTGTTCACATGCCCATGTCAGCAAACATTAACTCATTAATCTGATGATAGAAGATTCCCTGGATAAATTAAAAAAAAAAGCAAAACATACCTCTGATCAGTGGTATGACTACAGTACTAGTTGTACACTTTTTAATCATAATATTCATGTACATGAAGTGATAGATATTGCCTAAATATTTAGTACAGTAATCTAAAGGAGGTGATAAGATGCTGTCAACAGGAATAAAATTCTTGTTCTTGGAGACACATGGAATGTCGTGACAGGCTATAATGAGGTTTATCAATGTTTTATAGACCAATACACTCGGTTAATAAACATCCAGATCCTGTAATTAAAAAACAAACATACATAACAAAACAAGCCAACCCCGATACTGGAATGTACACCAAATCTTATCCTTAGGATTATGTCATACAATGCACGCCTGCACAAAAAGAAAGAAAGAAAAAAAACTGGAAAGTGAAACTTTATCGAGCAGTAGTCCCGGGAGTGTGACTGGATCTGCCAGTGGTACTCCTCACAGCTTTGATTGAGAAAGTTGAAATAATAGGAAAAGGAATATTTAGATCAGTGCCATGAAGACTGGGCTGAACAGTGGCTCACTGGTTGACTGGAGACTCTGATAGACAGGAGTGACTCTATCGTAGAAGCGACCACTTGATCTGTTCTTTGGCAGACTGAAGAACCTGTGGAGGAAAACTAGGTTAGACCAAGCGGATCACCCCAACAACAAAACTTTACCTGTAAAAATGTGACAAACCCTAAGGAGAAAAAGTATCAATAACACAAAATGAAAAACAAGTGTCATCTTATTAGGGGGGGGGGGGGGGTAAAAGGAAAGAACGGAAAAAAAGTTCCAGATACCCGTTTTTTTTGTTTTTTTTTAAATAAAAAATGAACAAAGAAGGATGAACTCGTGATGGAAATGAGGAAAAATATGCAAGATCTAATTAATCATCTTAATTCATTGAATGAAAGCTGAATCATAACCATAAAGTATGGGGATTGGGGACAGCCATTAATCACGGCCAGAGGAGGGATGGTGGTAGCCAGTCTCAGGCCTCTTAAATGACAACATTAATCAAGAGGGGCTCACTCACACAGGCAGACTCATGTACCAAGTTAAGCGCAGGAACCACCGTTGGCTACCTACCACCTTACCACAAAATAATTAGTAATCATGTACACTGTCATGTATATAAGAGAATGCAATATATGACAACCCAGAGGCGAGTGACAAAGTATGGGTAGAGGAGAATGATGCTATAACAACGTCCTTGCATTCACAGGTTCTGAAGTAATGTCAATAAACTAATGGAGCTTTTAAACTTTATAGGAGAGATAAGATCAAGACGGGGATGTTTTTCTCACCTGGGTGACTGTCTGCTCTGTCAAAGGCACATCATCCCCCTGCAGGAACAATTATGTTATGTTTACAAGCTGTCACAAGCAACATCAAACTTTGCTGAATATTTCTGAGAGAGGAGAGGAGAGGAGAGGAGAGGAGAGGAGAGGAGAGGAGAGGAGAGGACAGGAGAGGAGCTTACTCTGAGCGCCACACGGTGCACAACTTGTTGCGGGTCACTCTCTAGGATCACCCTGCAGGAGGCAGCAAAGAGACAGACCAAATGTTAGTAACCCCAGAGAAAACAGGCTGCACTAACACCATAGTTGTTTTAACAATAGATGACTTTAAATCAAAAGTTTCAAGCCGCTCATTTCTTACTTACCCTCCATCCACAATCTCATCCACAGCCAAGAAGAGCCCCTCCATATTCTCCAACAAAGCCCTCCTCTCAACATTTTTTCTACAGAATAAGACAAAAATATATAAATCAAGTTTAAATTTCTAGACATCAGAAAAAGATTTGTACAAAAATATTTTTTGGAATAAATAACATCTGCTAAAACGTACCTCAGCATCTGACTGAGCGAATCAAAAAGGCAATTTAGAACAGCCATAAGCATAAGCTGTTGGGAATAAAACAATATATCAGAATCTGTTCTTGTCTAATGTGTCAACAGTTCCATCTGGAAAAAAAATACTCAAGAAATAATGTGTGTTATCACTTTATATGGTGTTAACAAAATTTTAATTGGGAAGGCACACAATTTCTTTTTATTTCTAGCTATGTCAAACTCTGTATTTGGTGTTGGAGGTTCTAAACTAAACAAAGTGTAAAAATAAAACCCCATTTTATAAAGGATAAAATTACTTCAATAATTACAAAATTTACATTCAACACTTGTAAAACAACAAAACAAACACATTTTACTTTGTAATTAATCTCAAATTGATAATCATTCTGATATAATTTCTAAAGCGTCATATACTATATGTCATAATACTGTGGACACTGCACAATCGAGAGTTGAAACTGTTGCGCAGCTCGGAAGACAATAAGTTTGCTAGATAAATCATGGCCAAAGTCTTCAGTTTAACTGGTGCATTTTGCGTTCCCAAAATTTGTCCAAAATGACATGAAGTTTATTTTCAGTCTGAATATACATCTATATATTTGTTGGCTATGTAATTGCATCTGACACGTGAGAGAAAAAAATAGTGACATGTGGAAGTAGAAATTAACAGTACTTCAAATTAAAATTAAAATGCATAGCTGGCTACACAATTAATTTTAAAACCAAGTTTCAGTTGGTGAAAAGTAAAAAAAACAAACAACATAAATTACTACAAAACATAGACTTCAGAATGAAAAGTGTAAAAATTAAAACTCATTATAAGAGACAGATTAAATTGTACAGGCCTGTAAGTTTTCCAGTACTTTGAAATATGATACTACATTAGGGTAAATATCAGTGCTCAAAGGTTGCTTCTTGATCTTCTGATGAAAATATTAAACTTACCTCATTTTCATGGGAACTTCCAATCACATAAAAGAAGAGGTCTATGTTGCTCTTGTAGACAACAGTGAGGCCCTCGAGTAACGCTATCTCACCTAAGGATACACAAAAAAAAAAAAATAAATCATGCCATGTTATTAGACATGTACTGAGGAAAGAATAGTGACTTTCTTTAATATGATGAACATATCTTACTGTCTGTCCTGTGTGTTTTGTTGAATATGTTCTTCTCAAACGCTTTCTGCTCCTTCACTGTCGGGTATGTGTCATCGTAATACTGCAGATACATTTAAATTAAAGATGTGATATTTCGACATGTAAATCAAAACCCACATAACACTTTAAGTCATTTGAATTTCCATTAAAAGGATAAGGCTGCTGATATCCTATATTTTTCTTATTGTCAAATGAAAAAAAAGGATCAAAACCAGCAATGTTTCACAGTCTGTCCGTACTTTCTGACTTCCCCAGTTAGTCTGCGGTACTCAGCCCCAAGTGAGGACTACTACCCTACTGAGGACATAAATATATTGGAAATGGGTCACAGAAATATAGTTTTATTTATATATTTTTAAAAGGCTTAATAATTTCTTAATCCAACTGGGCACTGTTTTAGCAAACAATACTCAGTCAGGAGCAAGTGGTGTATTTATTGGAGACTATTTTCAGCGGTAGATTTGATGCTCTAATGAGTATTCCGCTAAAGAGAGGAATACATATTCATCGTAATTAAGAATCATGTCACCCAGAGCAATAGTGTGGCTCTTAGGTGATTGTAATATAACAGTAATAGTTTTTGGACAACAATGGGGTCCATTAGCTCAAGGGGAATAAGATGTATCAGGCTTTGACTACACAGGTAATACTTGGTTGGATCAATTCATTGATGATTTTGATCTTCTTGTGGGATTTATTGACAAGAAAAATATGGGTCATGGGCCAGATCTGGCCCTCCAACACAAATATTTGCCTTAGCTTATGTCATTTTTTCATTAATATGCAGTAAATGTAAATACAAGGCTTGTGTAAATTCCAATAAATAGGACCTTGTAACATGCTGTGTACAGAGATACCTAATAATTATGCATAATATGTTAAGTCTTGATTAGCAACACAGAGTATACAGTATATTTAAGAATCTTTTTAATGACAAATAAATATTAACATAAGCTCCTTACTCATCAGAAAAAATATATCTTCCCTCAGATACGTTAACTGATTTAAACAGTTGAACACTGAACCTAAATGAGAGGATCAGAGATCAAATGCTAGAGAAACTTTAACTAATGAGGATAATTTTATCGCACAATTGCCTAAATCATACCTTGGCATAAAGTCTGTCTCCATCATTGTCGAGAATGAGAACTGCTTTCACAGTGTATAAGGATGGTTCCTGTGAAGGTAGCAGACAAAAAGCGCACATTTTAATTCACACCATTAATTTACAACAGAGTCAGTCAGTCAGTTAACTAATCGATCAGTGACTGCAGTAATCAGACATATGTTGTCATAATCGGAAAATTAACTGGTTAAAAACAAACCAGCGCTAGCATATGATGAATGAAACAAACACAATCCGACCTGTCTGCAATGATATAAACAATATTTGAAACGATTATTCGCCAGGTCAAAAGGAAGACATGACACTTCCACATCACCGATAAACTTATATACACAAGCTAACCTCACCGAGGCTAGCTGGTTAGCCAACACAGCCAACACCAGTTAACTCGACAGTTAAATTACCACATTTTGCCACGTTTCGAGAAACAATTCTGAACAAACCGCTTGTGCGAAACAGTTATAGACAGACGCTTGAATGATGACACGGACAATATGTAAAATAGATACAAGCGTTAACATTACCAGTATGGGAGAATCCATCTTGTTTCTCGTTAGCAGACTTGCTAGCAGGCTATCTGTACCCTACGTAATACGTAAGGTAAATGAGTCTCTTCCCCATTGGCTGACGCAGTAAGTTGCGTTGTGCGTAGAGGGCAAAGGGCAGTTCATTGCAGGGAGAGGCGCTAAAAGAAAGTACATTTCGTTTATGCTAATAATAAACTGATACACACATTTACTTGGCACTTCATTACACAGCTAAAAGCAATAAAGTCTAATACAACAGTCCTGCAATAATTCCTTATACCGTTAAAGTTATAGAGAGTTGCTATTGAACTGCATTGCATTATACAGAGAGGAGTTGATGTTATTTAGCTTGCCCTCGTGGGTAGACAAACTAATACACCTGCCTGTATATTATATATTCAGTTTTTGTTTATTATGTAATACAGTAATCTTCTTCAGTGAAGAGGCCAGAAGATAAATATTTGTATCTACCGTTGGTCTAGGACACAGCATAAAGACATAAATAATGTTCTTTAATAGCCTACTTTTTCCAAACAAACCTTCCAGTAAAAGGATCACAGATTTCTTGGAGTAATATTTGATTAAATGTGGCAATAAAAAACTCCTTACTGATTATCTTAGTAACCACTAAAGATGCAAGTAGTTGGTAGCTATTCAGTTGTTTGTACATGTGCGAGAACTGATGTAATGAAGAGATGAAGGGGATCCACTCACACCACATACACGTAGGGCCCAAATTTACTGGTTAAGCCTCTGACTGTAGTAGAATTACAACTATGAAGTGGTGAAAGAAACACTCAGTTCATTTTCTTGAAATAGAAACAGCACTGTGTGGAAATAGCCTACTACAAGTACAAGTTACAAGAAAATGTCCTACATAACATGGTAACAGAAAATCTCTCATTTACAAACCATTTTAGCTTGCTCGTACTCATCAACATCTTTTTTCAGGATCCTCCTACATTTAACCAACTCCAATTATCTTAGTTCCCACTTCTGGGAAGCATTTGGAAACCCAGGCTGATGGGGATTTCCCTCTATCTCATTCCATACATGACATCACAGTTTGACCTTACTGTAAGATATTTTTGGCCTCAAGTTTCAAATAATACTGGAATACAGAGAGTATTGAAAGCAAATGGTGTACAGCTATTATTTAACTGCATACGATCAAAAGATACAAACTTTGACATGCATTCATAACAGCACTGCAGGAAACCATGAAATGTTGCAATACTACACTATGTTTACACAATTCAGCCACTATGATTTCAAAATTACCATGACTAGAGAGGAAACAGTGTACTGTCTTGAACTAGCTAATACTTAACGTTAAAAACATATAAAGGTGTCATTGTCATCATGCCATCTCATCTTAGAAGTCATACCTTTATATGTTTTTAAAGAAAATCACAGTGATGATGACTGGCAGAGTTGGTAGTGGGGATGAATGAAAGTTGAATGATGAATCAACAAATATGATGAGAGAACATACAAAAAGTAGTGTTCCTCTGCTGGATGGTGCACAGTGCTGATGGTGCAGACTTGAAAATGGAATCCCACTGATCATTTCTTTCAAATAAGCTGTATAAAAATGTATGCACCTACACTTCACAGTTGAAGGACCTTGAAGAATAACTTACGAATGAAGCATAAATAGACTTCTTTAGAAAATCTTCAAAGCACGATGTGAGGAAACTGTTAAAGAGACTAATAATGTCCCTGATAGATCTCCTGTTCTAGTCCAGCAAATATTTACAATATCTTATTAGTCCTGTCTAATAGCACAAAGATGAAAAATTAACACCATAACAATTGATAGAAAGGATGAAGTGTGACAGTATGGGTTGTAACCCTCTCCTCAGTTAATGCCAGCAACCACAGCAGTTAGCAGTTCCCTTCCTAAGAACCAAGTGGTCCTTTTATCAGCATTAAGCAGAGCTTCCGCCAGTCAACATCCTCCTTTCCCTGCCTTCCCTCTACGTGTCTGTATTAACCAGTCATGGCATGGGTCTGCAGTCATTGAATGTATACAATTACCTATGCATATAAACACACATGCACACAAACACTTACACGGCACCCTAAACAAACAAACAAATATATAAATACATAAAAATCTGCTTCATTTTCTTCTTTGTCATTCCCTTTTCCAACGCCGATTATATAATATGTTAATCTATAGTAAAAGTTATAATAAAGTTTTCAGAAAATAATAACGAAATTCAGTACTGCTGTTGCAAAACATTATCTTTATCTAAACATCTTGAGATAAGTGCAGGCCTTATTGAGACATTCAGAAGAATGATGCTGCATGTTCAGGTTCCTCATTTGTTCTTTTTCAGGTAGTGATAATCTGTGACCATCACGACAGACGTTTTAAGGAACAACCATGGAGAGGTTATCTTTGAATCAAATGTCTATCTACTTAACGTTGCTCTCAGGTCTGACCTCTGTACAACAGAGATAATTTCACCTCCACTTCATTTCGGAAAAATTATGTACAAATTCAAATGTTTATCTTTAATATTGTCACCACAGGGTTAAGGCAAATATGTGAAATTGGATATCTACCAGACAGTGTATTTGCAAACTGTTGTTCAAATTCACAAACTCATTTTGTTTGAGTACCAGTATATTAACATTTTTATGTTTCCTTTATTTGGAATGTTTTTAATAAATGTCAAATGTTTACAATGGAAAAATAAGTAAAATATCCTTATTTTTCAAAAATAATTTTAATAATTAATATGAGAATTTAAAAAAATGATACTCCATCTGCACTCTCTATTTTTTTTCCTTTCCCAGAAACTCACTCCAAAAATATTCCCTTTTTGATACCACAACCCAAAGCACACACTCATTTTGTTTAGTAGTGAGGTGGTTTTTCCACTCAAGTCTGATACAGCCTTCTGGATGTTGAGATAAAACCAAAGATGCCACATTCCTCCATCTTTAATGAACAAATTAAATGTAATGGAAATACCAGGATACAGAGAGGAGCTGGGGAACAAAAACCATTAACCATTAATTTCAGATTAGATTCAACAGACTCTAGTGTAAAATTCAATGGTCATTAAGAGACTTTTAGCATGAGTGAGTCAACTGTGGGCAGTTCCCACCCAGTACGTTGGGTCTATTTTTGAAGTCCAGTTGTTCGTGGCACTGAGGTGCACAATAAATAAAGGCTGACAGCCCAGAGAGGTTCAGGCAAGCTGGAAAGCAGAGATGTCAAAGTCTAATTGAAGCAAACAAACACAAACAGGGAACGTGGGCGTTGACCTGGGAACTGTGTCCAGATTCAAAACCACTGTGGTCACAGTAATAACAGGGTGCTCTTTGGCATACTGTGGCGGTGGTTGAGTCAGGGGCTGGGTGCTAGGAACTTGGGTTGGGAAGTCCCTTCTTTGATTCCTGGTAGACATTCACCTTTCTTGACTCTGTCAGCCACCTACTTTTTCCATCTTAGAACAATGACGGAGAACATTGTGATTTATGTCTCAGTGGGATGTGATATTGGATTGCGCCAGACAAAACCTTCCATGTTCTCATGGCTTTTGAATAGGCTATACACTGCCTTACTGAAAGTCTCAACGCCATTTTTGTTTGGCCCCACAATTTATGTTTATTTCACAGTAAAGAGTCAGGTCAGCATTTAGAGCAAACATTGACATTAAAATACCCCAAACTTATTTATCCTCACACTCCTTGTTCTTGGAGAGCTAAAAAAAAGTCCCAATTCTTATTTGAATTACTGTAAGCGTCAAAATTAGCTTTATCTTTTGAGCAGTAAGTGTAATGCTGTTGTGAATCACATAGATATGTGTTTATATGCACCCCAAATAAAAATATTATTTATTACGCTCATTACATTTGTTTCTAAGTATTTTTCTTTAATAAATTTCAATTTCAGTTGTTGTTACAAGAACCAAAATGAGCTGAACAAATTATTAACAGTGTGTGGAAACAGAGTGTGTACATACATTTTTTGTATATTTGTACTAAATTTAGAACATTTGTGGCAGTTTGAGTATAGGCTACTTGTGCACCATTTACTGCAGATTTATTTCAACTTTCAAATTTATTTTGACTGTATTAAATGTTAATTCACTCACTATAATTCACGGGAAGTGATTGTGACATCTGTTTTCATCTTTGCATTTCTGAGAAAAAGGAATTCTGCATAGTGCCATGCTTATTTGAATACGCTGCATGCAGGTGTTACACCCTGCAGCTGTTCTATGTGCAAATGACATGCAGATTTTTTACTTTTCAGAAAATGGACCATGGTTTTCTTATATAGAGGCAACTTTACATGAGTTTGCATCTGCTTATTTTACAAAGACTTTGCGGGGATTATTTAAAATATACACGAGGCCGCAACATATGTTAAAGGTGAAACAGAAGGTGAAGTAAGAGACAAATATAAATCTACCCACTCTGCTGTGCACAATGTACAGAGTAAGGGGTCTTTTACAGAGCATGAAAGGTCACTGTGAGACAGATTGCCACTGTCATTTCTCACAGTGAATAGAAATAAACATGCATTGCTGTACAAAAAAATAAATATATCTCCACTATCAGTAACTGTGTGAAAAGCTGTTGCACAATAAGGCAGTTCTACCTAACACATAGCCTTTGTGAGCTCACTGTTCACAGTGTTTCAGATCAGGGCAATGAGGGGATTTTTTGTGAAGGATTTTAATGGTCACTTGCTATGTAAGACACGCTCCCCTCCATTCTCCCCCTGCTCCTCTCGCTCCCTTGGTGGTTGCTCTGCCAGATAGGGGAACAATGTAGTCTTTCTTACCTGGCGGAGGGTGTACATTCCATCTCTACTAAACTAAGTCTCAATCCAGCCTCCAACCCACCCCTGCTTGAACAGGGCCCTCACCGCAGTGCCGGCTCTGACTCCAGGTGCTCCACATCACACTCCTCATACCTTTCGTTTGGGAGGATTTGAAAGGACACAGTTCGTGTACGGTTTGGCCAGGACAGAAACAACCAATCTGGCTAATTTTCACTCAATTTTAAGTCTTTATCCTGATCGTTTTATGTGTATTGTC